TTACCTAGTACCCGTTTCCTAACAACTGTGTTACTTACTCGATGGTCCCATGATATACGAGCAATGTTTCGAAGACACCTATGATCAAATACTAGTAACCTACGGATATCCTCTACTCTTACCGACCATGTTTCACTGCCATAAAGTAGGACGGAACGAACTGCTGCGCAGTAAACACGTCCTTTGGTTGATAGACGGATATCTCGCCTACGCCATAAATGACGCAAGTTGGCAAAAGCTAGTCGAGCCTTCTGTATCCGTGCTGAGATTTCGTCACACACCAAACCACAAGGGCTGATGAGACTTCCAAGATAAGTGAAGCGGTCGACACACTCAACTACTTCACTCCCTATCACTAGTTCGGGTGTCGATGTAACCCAATCCTGAAGCAACATTTTGCATTTCGAGGGAGAGAATCGCATCCCGAACATGCTTGGATTGTTGCTTAGAGTGGTCAGAAGACTCTGCATTTTGTCAGCGTCTTCACCAAATAAAACTATGTCATCTGCATATTCTAAGTCAACAAGTGAACCTCCTGGTAGAAGTTCAACCCCTGGAAATTTAGATGAGGAGAGTGTTATCTCTAAAAGTACGTCAATGACAAAGTTGAACAAGAATGGGGAGAGTGGACAGCCCTGACGAACACCACTTGAGGTGATCAATTCTGATGACAGTTCGCCATAAGCTCTCACTCGACCAGTTGTGTTCGAGTAGAGAGCCTTTATAAGGTTAATGTACTTCTTTGGTACTCCTTTCAGTGACAAACACTGCCATAGAACCTCACGATCAACGGAGTCGAATGCCGCCTTAAGGTCGAGAAATACTACCATTGTGGGGCGTCTGAATGTGTGTCTCTGTTCTAGAACCTGACGTAGTGTGAATATCTGATCGATACAACCACGTCCAGGTCGAAAACCAGCCTGGTTTTCTCTAGTCTGCTCTTCACGAGCTTTAGTTAGGCGTCGAAGTATTATTGAGGCTAATATTTTAGACACTATATTAGTCAAACTGATTCCTCTGTGATTGTCACAAGAGGACTTTTGTCCTTTCTTAAAAACTGGCACAATCAGTGATTGAGACCAGTCAGATGGGATTACGTCCAGTTCCCAAATTCTACCTAAGACCTCAGTTAATCTCATTGCTAATACTGGACCACCATCCTTAAAAATCTCAGGAGTAAACCTGTCAGGGCCTGCTGCTCTCCCTCGTTTCAGATTTCCTATGGCTTTTTCAACTTCGTAAAGGGACGGAGGACTTACATTAACTTGCCATTCAGGTTGACTGGAGATCGTGGGAAACCGAAGTGTGGCTGAAGGCCAGTTGAACTGATCCCTAAAGTGTTCTGCCCATCGATCCAATCTCCTGGATTGAGAATGAATAATATGTCCATCTTTCTCTGAGATTGTTTCGCTAACGGTCGGGTTCCTAATTCCGGTTTCCTTAACGAGTCTAAACAATTGTCTGCTATTACCTATTGCCGCTGCTTTTTCCATCTCTCTTGCTTTCGCTACCCACCACTGTTCGCGATCATTGCGTAGACTTCTTGTCAGCTTGCGCTTAAGCTGACTCCGCTCTTCATTATGTTCAGAGCCAGGTGGAATGAGTTTTCGAGCATCTATCAGTGCGATAGATGCTGCTGAGATCCAGTGTTGCTCCCTAACTTTACGGTTTACCTTACTAGCAGATATCACTGCTGTTTCCACAGCTTTTCGGATATCGTTCCATGCTGCCTCGGGGTGGGCATCACATACATGGCTGCCTAACTGTTTTCCTAGTTGTTCCTGAAATATATTCTTAGCTTGACTATCATTAAGTAGAGCCCTAAGAGGTTTCCTTGCAGGATCTTTCCTACGTCCAGTAAGACGCAAGCAAATACGCGCTCGCACTAGAGCATGATCTGAATCTAGGCATGTGCTCCAGAATGAGCGACAGTCTTCTATCGAGCCCCTCCATCGGTGGCTGATAGCGATGTGATCTATTTGGGTCCAACGTTGGGACGAATTAGGGGGTCGCCATGTTAAAAGATGTTTTTCCTTATGCTTAAAGTTAGTATTTGCAAGGAACAGGCGGTTATCTGAGCATAGCTGCAACAGACGGTCGCCATTATCTGTTCTTTGAGCCACGACACCATAAGATCCACCTAGGTGTCTTTCCTTATCGCTTAGTTTACCTACTTGAGCATTAAAGTCACCGGCCACTATTACTACATCCGAGCGCTTAGCTTTTCGGAGAAGGTCCGAAAGCTTTCTGTAAAACTCATCTTTTACATCATCTGAGCTGCAGTCAGTGGGAGAATAGGCAGAGACGACGAAGAGGCAACGACGAGTGTCCCTATCTTTCCGGATTCTTACTGTTCCGTTCAGTCGGACAGCGCACAAACGACTGTTTACTAGAAAACCACAGAGAATTAGGTAGTTTTAAATAGCTGTTTCATTCTAGGTTGGGATATCTCGACAGAATAGAAAGTGGAATTTCGAAATTGTGTAGAGTGTAACATACTTCACTACTATGACTCATATGAAATGATGTACCGACTATTAATAGGATTTTGAGATCAGATTTCTGAAATTCTAACGACGTGTCATGCTATGAATGAAAGTATTACTAAATATACATAAGATAACCAGGTAGCTAGATTATAAATTACATACAGTTGAAGATATAGACCGTTGCATTCCAACATATTTGGTTTAAATTATTGTGGTAGTGATAAAATCTGAAAGCAGATTAATAAAAGAGAAGTTGAGTTAGGAACTTCCAAACTAGAATATGCTTATCCAGTATTCTGTAATAGAAAATCACTTATGAATTAAACATATGGATATTTTCTATTATTTGAATAGATTACGTCTAAGATGCTGGACAATACTGTACAAAAGAAACATAAACTCCATGTTAAAATATCATATTATAATTTAAACAGTTATTCACAAATTCAAAGGCTTAATACAGAAAATATACTTGAATATTAAATTCTCTTGGTGTTGTTTTACTTGAATCTTCCCATTGATCTTATTGGCATATGTGCGTACTGTGCAGATTGCCTCGATAATGCCTTAATTAGTGGCTAGTAGTGGAGTCCAAGACGCGCGTTTCGTCCTATTTTGGACTCATCACCTGGATGTACTTGCATCTCAGAGTTGATGCTCACTCTGGAACTCGATCCCAATACCACTAGCCTCAAACACCATCGCGTTACCCACTTAACTACTGAGTCCTGACAGCCACTTGCTTGAGCATTGGGTTCGAGTCCCAGATTGATCATCAACTCTGAGATGCAGGCACATTCAGCTGACGAGTTGCAAACAGGACGAAGTGGCACGCGTCCTGGATTCCACTGCTAGCCACTATCCATCTTTGCTTATAATACTTGAATATTGTCCAGACGTTATATTAATGTCACTTGGATAATATAAATAGACAGCTTGTACTGAATTAAAAACCCAACAATATTGATCAAATAGAAAACAGTTGATCCCATTTTAAAACATAAGAGTCAGTTGAACAAAAAACGGGAATTATCCACAAGAGCTCAACTTCAAAGTACAGATATTTATATGTCTCATTAAAACGAACTTTCTTTTAATAGAAAAATTTCCATTACCTCAAAATAAAGACCATATTCATTAAGCCATATGCACTTTACGAGAGGAAAAACAAATCGTATCAACAAAGCATACCTCATACATATGATTGGTCACTGTTTGTTTAACCATTTAGTACTGAACTAATCCTATCGACAAACTTCCAATGTGACGATTATTTCAAGTGACTTCATATTACATAAGCTATGTAGACACGTCAGTTGTTTGGAAATGCCAACTAGAACGAAACCTAAGTCAAAGATTTCCAATTAACTTCTACTAACCATCTGATAACTCAACATATAATGTATTTGATGACAAAGCACTTAAAATAGTGGCTATATTAACACTAAGCCGATAAGATCTGATCCGTTCTAAAGAACTAAACAAACATGCAATCAGTCAATACTGATTGATCTGTCGTAAACATCCCGATCCTACAGAAAGTCGAAGTTCAAATATCACAGGGAGTATCAGTTCCGTCAAAGATTACAAGTAGATTGCCTTGACTAGTTCAAGAGTTATGGTTGTCTAACTTCAATCACTAAACATATCAATGAAATTCCTTTCATAATAATTTACAATCACTAATTAAGAAAAGTTTATTTAATCATAAATAACTCTATATGGTCATTTTTCATTCACTAATCAGAAATAAATTTATCATATACACTTATTGTTATATCCTAGTGAAGATTAAGTTACGGGCAACTTCTGAGAACTGTTAATGGATTAATATTATATATATATATATATATACCTATCGCATAACTATTCAGTAACTAGATTATGTATAACTATATACCTCGTATTATAAGCTTCATTTTGACTTAGAGATTACAATTATACGATTTAATGTTCTTATGTGCAGTTTATTGATTACTGTCTCTCAAGTTCACAGCTAGTTTTTTTGGCTTGATCTTGTATAAATGTTATTTCCTATTTTATATTGTGATACGGTCTGTTTGGCTGATATATAAACGAAGTACGTTTGAAATAAATGATTCGCATACTGGAAGCTGTTACTCGCGTTTCTGGACTCGATCGAACGCGGTAAGTGAACAAAAGAACGCTAGGCTGCACATACTGGTCGAACATCACTGGTTTGGCACAGTACTAAGATTGAATAAGTCATATTTCGATTGGCGAATAAATCACATGATAATTCGCCAACCTTAAAGTGACAACACTTATAAATACAGAAGATGAAATGAATCAGTCCATTGTAAACAGTATAATGTTTTTTATGTATTTTTTTTATAAATGAATCTTTAATACGACCAATAAGGATGTTAATACTTCCGGAAAATGTGTTCTCGCTGGACGTTAACTCTTTGTTTACTAGTATATCTCTAACCGAAATAAATCTTGGGGAGGTAATTTGTGTTAGTTTTGTCATAGTAAGAGTGAGAATCATAGTTATCATTATCATTATTATTACCACTAGTATAAGCAACTAAACTAATCACATCCTTATTATTTTTTTGTACATTCAACAATAAAACACCATGACAACAATAGACAACAAGTAAAGATAAAAAAACAGATTGTTACCATCATCATCAACATCATCATCACCATCAGTGATTGAATCAATTGCATAAACAGTAAACAAATGTATCTTTCTTCTTCTCTTTTATTATTTTTTCATGGAGGCAGACTTAAAAAAATAATTGTTTTTTTTCTTCTACATAGAGATAAAGATTAAAATGAACAAGATAAAGAACAACTACAAAAGAATGTATACAGAAAGAAAAGAAGTACAATAGATCAATCTATTTATTTATGTAATTCTATGAAAGATGCACAATGAAAGTCAATCAGTTACAATATAACACCAGGCACATATATGCATCGATCCAAGTTGCCTTACCTCGAACAGTACTCAAAATCATTGTCATAAATATTAACATTAAGAGTATCTAAGACGAAATGAAATAGAGAGAGGTCATATCATAGTTTTTTTTTCTCTCTCTCTCTGAAAATAAGATGTTTAACTTGTACAAAAAATTTACCATCAATAACAGACAATAAACTGATTATGATAGAACTATTTAAGTATACAAATAAATTTGGGAGAATAGTTACAAATTGAATAAGATTTTCATAAACAATCACTTTCTTATTGGCACTCATGGAATAAATACTTCTCTTTTTCTAAATATACTATAAAGGTACTAAATCGAAAGTATTTGTTTCTCTGCTCTGGGAGAAAATCATCATAGAACTTGGAGTAGAAGCATTAACTAAGCCATGGTATTATCTAGTCTAAATGTTTTTTGCAAGATCAAGAAAAAAAAAATAGTGGTTAGTTAGAGGTATGTTTCATTCTATACAGGAAGAGAAACAGAGAACTCTTCTAATGAATTACTATTTTTCAATGAAGAATACAAATGTTCTTTAATTAAACGCACATATGCATAGTTCAATGAATGATCATACGAATTAAGAAAGACTAAAATAAACAAATCAACCATATAAGATTAAATGAATTCTCTATTCAACAAAATAGTTAATTCATAGACTTGTTTATAGTAAAAAATACAGTGTACACATAGGAGAAATGAATCTATACCTATAACCCATATTTTCAACAATAGATCAATATACCGAAATGAATATGCATATACAAAACCTATTTGTGCGTATATTATCATCATCATCATCAGTTGTATAATATAATCAGTATTATATTGAAGTCTATGAAAGAATTCCAACTAACATCAATTCTCAATAATAATACATTGAAGTGATGATAATCAATAAGCTTTATATACTGAAAAATGTTAAATCAATTACAATACAATAAAGAATAATTATGAACCATATAGCAGAAGCAATTTTACACCTATTTCTTATTCTGTGTGAATATAGACAGATAACTATGCATAAAGAAATAAGCGACTATAGGATAAAATGAGTAGTATAGTTGATTGAAGTCAGCCTACTTTCTTAAACTTTATACAGAAAAACAAAAACAAAAACAAAAAAAATCATACACATTAAAAAGAAAGACTTCTGGTAAATATATTTGAAACAAGAGATTTGAACACAAAAAAAAAGGTAATCGTCGATGGAAATGTTTCTCTCTTGTTCCTTTCTCTCTCTCTCTCTCTTTTTCTTTCTTTCTTTCTCAAATAAACAACAGTAATCTAATAACTAAATAAATAAGTGAATACATCTGTAATCAAGGAAGCACTAATCAATCTTTATTGATATTGATTAGATAGGCATAGAAAAATAAATTTCATAAGAAGAATATTGTATAAATAAATTAAAATGAGAAACAGATTAATGTAGATGAGATGATTTTAGCAACAACAACAACAACAACAACAAAAATAATAATATTCAAGAAGGCATAAACAGATAGATATGTACAGAATGTTTTAGTTTTTTGTTGTTTTTTTTTTAAAAAAAAAACAAAGTTGAATAGCAACTGGGAAAGATTGTCCATAACTAAGTTCAATAGAGTATCCTAGTTAACAACCTACCTCTATATACTCCCTCCATCATAAAGGGGATAATATAATATAACATAAGGAAATATATACAAAACATTCAGTATATATATCTATCATTGATTCTATAAATGCTTGATCTCTTTTCATTTATCCATTCCAATCCTATCACATCAATTGATTTGTTGTTGTTGTTGTTCAAATTGATATGATGAATTAGATGACCATAATTGATTATCATTATTGATTAAACTGGATGATTGTATTTCTTTATTGAATGTATTCAACAAGCATTGTTCATTATTATTATTATTACTATTATTGTTAGTAGTATTATTATTAGTAGTAGTAGTAGTTGATTTCATTATTACATTCAATTTCATTTTATCATGATTATCTAATAGAGATAAATTTTTTAAATTATGATAATTTTCATTATCGAATTCATTGAATTCTATTGTTTGTAATAAAGATGATGATAATTTCGATGATAATTCAGATGGTGTACGATAACGTCTTTGACGTGCTATAATTGCATTATTTGTACATAATATAGGATTTGTTGATGGTCTAGGAACAAATACAATTAATGGTGATGTATAAGAATCATTATTATTACTATTACTATTATTATTATTATTTATTAATATATTTGAATCATTTGTAATCTGATTATGTAATTTAATTAGACCATTTGATGCAATAATATCATAGGATGATGTTGAAGACGATGATGAAGATGAAGAAGAATTAGAATTACAATTATTATTCATAGAAGTAATAGGAAAAGATGATTGATTTTCATGTAATAAATGATTTTTTATTTGTTTATCTGAATCAATAATAATCTCTTTATTATTAGGATAATAATGATTATATGGATAATTTTCAATTCCATTATCATTACAATGTTGTATAAATGGAGATGAATGATTATTCACAATATTTGATATATCTTTATTATGATTATTATTATTTTTCACATGACGATTTACCTGTAAACATTTTGGATATTTATCATCGGAATCAATATCACTTGATGATTCACAAGGAGGTGGAGGTAATGGCTGTTGTGATGATGTACATGATGAATGAGGTAATAATGTTTGAATACATGTTCGACGAAAACGTCGACTACTGATTACATGACCAATATCATCAGTATTGATTTCGTTCGATGGACGTCGTTCAAACACATTGTCATCATATGGTGATAAACGATTGGTTTTATTATTCTCTTGAAGTTCAGTTAAACCATTACGATTCCAGTTAACATGTGATCTACTATTACCGTTTGTATTATTATTATTATTATTCACAGAAACAGTGCTTAAACTACGTGACTTATTATAACTACTATTATTTGAAGTACTGTTATTCCATAGAGTTCGACCACGACTCGGATTGTATAAACGAGTACCAATGGACTGAGAATTATTTACAAATATTTGTTGATTTGTATTATTATTAGTATTATTTTTATCTGGTCGACTGAGTGGACCAGTTGTACTAGGATTGATTAGACGATTATTTATCGATGGTTTTGATTGATCACAGGATGATGTGAACACTTGATGACTATTCACAGATGATTTATCGTGATTTTCATTCAAACTATTATTATTATTAACACTACGATTACGAGACGGTTGTTGCCAAGATGTAGGTGTTAAACTAAGTCGTTGACGTGATGGTGCAGGAACTGGTTTACAACCGTTAACTACTGAATATTTATGTAACAAATTACAACTGTCATTATCATGTGGTGATGATCCATTAGAGTTTGTCAATCTCATAGAATATTTTCCATCATTATAATTAGCATTACTGATAGAGAATCGTCTTAAACCTTCTGAATGATGAGATACTTCATCTAAATTACATCGAATTAACCTTGAATGACGTCCAGATGATATTGATGGTGTTGTTGTTGACGTAGTAGTGGTGGTGATCAAACGTCCAGACAATTTTGATTTTAAATTCGACTTTTTAAGATTACTGGTTGATAAAGATTTTACATTAGTTGACAACCCCTTGTCATTCGTACTAAATGAACTATTAATATAATCACCACATCCAATATCATCATCCAATGCACCGGTAATGGTAATATTAATGTTAGTGTCATCGACTTTTTTTATACATTGCGAATTGGTCGTTGTTGCAGTCACGATAGTGGCATGATTCGTTGAAACCTGATGAGTAGATTTGACATCTGATGTTCCAATATCTGAAACATTATTTTGAAGCTGAGCAGAAACATCGATAACAGGACATTTATCAGTCACAGTTTCACCAGGTTTCTTATCGATCGATTCATTTGGTAAGTCAATATTTGATGAGTCTAACATTAAATTCTGATTATCATTTACAGTTTCACCTAAACCACCATCAACGCCACCGCCAATGTTGATATCTCCATCGATATCAACTAAATCTTGACTAGATAAACATAAACCAGCTAGCTGGGTCATTGAACCTGCTGCATTACTATTCAATCGGGTTAAACGAGACAATGATCCCGATGCATAACGTCCACCTACAGTACTAATTGCTATAGCATTGGTCATTTGAGCAATACTAGCTTGACTTTGGTCAACGGTGTATCCGAAATTCCCAGTTAAAATGCTTACATCGTTACCACCATTATCAATGACATTATATCCTTCTTCTCTAGGAGAAGACATGAAAATACATTTATCAGCCACAACAATGGGTGAATGTGTATTTGAACAAGCAGGACGTGTTGACTTCATGGATGAATTATTATGAACATCTACAACGCTACTTTGTTGGTCACGATGACATTGTCTAGCAGGCATGATAACAGGTAATCGTGAGGGTCTGTGCTCAGTAAAGTTATCATTTTTGCATTGTTCACAGTTGGACCTAGATACTGAATTGTGATAAGCTACTTCGACTGATTTTCCAAGTTCCGTTAGGCTTCTATTATGCGGTACAGCCACACCATTTGAACGTCTCAATGAAGCTCGACGGTTTGAAGTACCAACAGATAGACCTTTAGTAGAAGTTGAATGTCTACTACGTCTTAAATCGTTGTTATTATGAACAACAGGATGATATCCTAATACATTGCGAGTTGTGTTTGTACCATTATCAATATCATTTGTATCTTTATGACGGCTATCTAAATTTTCTTTAACAGTAGCTGTGACTAGTTTCCCAGGATCATGATTTCCAAAGTCATCGACTACATCAGCTGTTTGTAAAGGTGGAAGGTGGGAGTGAATTTTATTATTATGCTTTGAAATGTCTCCACCTGGTATTAAATCTGGTGATATAGTTTTTCCATTCAAAAGTTGCGGCACATTATCCTTTAAAGATTCATTCACACTACTGACTAGATGATGCATGAGATTCCCTCCATTGTTAATACCAGTAGTACTCAAACCCACATTATCACGTCCTCGTTGATGTTGACCAACAACATCATCAACGTTACGATTATAATGACAGATAGAGCGCTGAGGATGATTTGAAACTAAATTTTGACTTGTATGAGTTCGTCTGTCAGTGAAACCAGTAGGTTGTGCATTACCTACACCCATATTGTGATTATCTTGTTGTTCATTTACTGCAGGCCCGGGTGGAATGGAAGGTGTATTTGTTGGATTGGTTTGTTGATTATCTATTGCTGTTACAGGTTGTTCCCAATCAAAAAGATCAGTCTCATGAACATCACGACGAATCATGGCTTGTTTTATGAGACCATGAAGCATAGTATAGTCGGGTCGATCCGAATAACTACATTCTTCAATGTGCTCTAGGAAGGCACGATATTCACTTGGAAGGCAACGTGTAAGCGTCATATGATTAAAATTGTTTTTAATTTGACCAACCTAGAGTAAGAAAACATTAATCATCATCGTCATTAATATTACCGTAAACGCTTGCAAGAGTCTTGTTAAGTTATCAAGCTTTTAAGTCATCTTCGATACAACTTCTGGTCTCCCAAGATGCAGTACACGATTTTTAAAGCCTATTTTTGATTATATGACAATAAGTATCAGTTAATAGTTATTCCATAAACTGGTGAATAGTTGTGTTTAATGCAAACTCTTTCACTCTCTCTTAAGCATTTGTTATAAAAATTTTCGAAGTCCACTTTTCATGAAACCGGGTAATAGTGGCATTTGCACATATGTGTGAGAGGTTCCTCAAGTACGTTGGTTTAAAAGGAATTGTGACTTCATCTCTGCAACATGAAACAATACAACATCTAAACGAATAATTTTAGATGGTGGATGGAGGTAGTCAACAGGAAACCCTGGACCCGGGTTTCGTGCTACTTGGCACTCGTCAGCAAGGTGTACCTGTAATCTTGAGGGAACTGATGCTCCCTGGCGGATTCGATCTCGTGTCACCCAGCTTCACAGTCAGAGACGTTACCACTGAGCTATCCGAGCCGTGACTAACCTCCTGTAGGACTGAGATGTAATAAGGACTAGACAAGCATGACATTGATCACCACCCAGTGAACAATCAATGAATATTAAGCTTACGACTCCTTATGGATAGATACACAATATGAACATGGTGACAATAAATTGCAAGTTCAAAACTCATTTGACATATATCAATTTGGACTACTCAGTAATGGTATTAAAAAACCTCACATATGTAATGTAGTTCAAGACTCAAAGATGGCTTATTGATTGAGACATTTAACTTTCAACCAAAAAAGTTATATGTTTGAACCCAGCTCAACAGATTTCCGTCTAGGAAACCGGGTAATATTGTGTTACTAGTCCTCAAAATTGGGATGTAACTAAAAGTCAACTACGCAAATCTGTACCCAGCAAATAGATTAATTCAGCTATACTATTGATTGATTGATTAGCTAGGCCAATATACAATAACAACACTTAATAAATTGAAAACCCGATAAGAACGTATGAAGTTGACTTATATGCTTAGAAAACCAAATTCAATCAAATATACAATTGTTTAAAAAGTATCAGATGAATGGTGGAGTAATTGATGATAAAGATTCGGAACCTCACATCAATTGATTTAGTCTAGCTGATCGATGAAAAGTGACTTTAATAAATCCGACTTATTTGTACTTTACTAGTATTCGGTCATCGATGTCTTGAAAACAACGCTTGCATATGAGATTAAATGCAGAATACTAAGTGAAGCTATAGAACCGGCTGACAAAGTCGTAAATGTTAATCAAATTAATTGTTCTGAAATATATATTACATACACTTAATCACCACTTACCACGACGTGCGATTTTTGCTGGTATAGATGCAGGTTGGAAAGATTGATGCTGACAAACTGAAATATGATATCAGTTCATGAAATTAATGACTTTTGGACTGAACCGAGTTTATAAGTGAAGACTACTTGATTGAAGTCCGCTTGATTACAATGGCCAATAGTTGGAGAGTCTATGTGACATGGCTTGAAATCGGTCCAAATGGCATAGATACATTCACCACATGCCTTCAGATATTTAGTTTCTAAACTAAACTGTGCTTTTTTTATTCTAAGAATTCCTTCTTTCTTTTCGAAACATATTGTCAATTCCTAACTTTCTCTACTAATACTACTACCATTAATATTGTTACTAATTCTACTACTTCAGGATATGTCTCGATAAATTCATATCACTATTGTGTAGTCACTTTAATATATGTACCATGTTCAACGATGCTCCAAATTGGATTAACTGACTAAGCTAACAGGCTGTCAGTTTTCATACCTTGTAATATGAACGGAAACACACAAAATACACTCACCTGTTCTTTATCTTTAATTCTACGCCATGGTAATTGACCTGATGCGAATTCAACAAGCACGTAAAACATTGACCATAAATCATCATGTCGACCCATTTCACGATTCATATGAGCATTACGCGATGCATAACGTACTGTTCCACGAAAACCAGCTACTGGACGTGCAGGTCTAACATCTCCCTTAGGTGTTGTATATTGACGAGCTAAGCCAAAATCTAGCATATAAATTGTTCGACAGTTTGTCGGTAATCTACCAACAGCAAAATTTGAAGGTTTAATATCACGATGTAAAAATCCAGCATCATGAATAGCCTCGATAGCGCTTAAAATTTGTAAACTTAAACGTATTATTGTGGATGTGGAGAATATTCCACGGGGCATACTACGTCGTAAGTCTGCGAGATTTCGGCCCTAAAAAAGGCGAAACATAGGTACGAATGAGTTCACTTTCATCCATATTAGGCATTCAGTTAAATATAAATTACAGTTCAAATCAGTATAATTAAAACGACTCATGAATACAAATCTTAAAATATATTGAAAAATATTCATGTTAGTAGGACAGAGTGATGAATATTTAATGTTCAGAATAGAATATGCAGAGTCATCCGATTTTTAGCCAATCGGCACTGTGCTAAAGCACGAATCAAGAAGGAATTAGGAGACTGCCATATACATTCTGCATATACTATAACGTTTTTACTACACTATCTCTTGCTTGCATATGATCAATCCAAGTGTTTCATACTTGTCTGCCGACTAAAATCACCAAGAGATGCTGATACTCGTAAAATCTTCCTGAATAAAGTTGAACAAGACTAACGGTAATGCCACAAACAGTGACTGTGGGATACCAACGACTAATAAGTTTGATAAACGTGGAACAAGACACAGTAATGTTGCAGTAACTAGGATAATTCAATGAAGTATAATCTATTGTGGATTCAAAACGATTAATTAATTAATTAATTGAACAAGTTTTCCTCCGGACACATACCGAGAAAATTATAACTTGAATAAGATTTTGTGACGAAATGGAGACAAAAGTGGTATTATTATTATCACTATTATTACTATTAGTAGTACTATTAGCGTTAGTAACGATGATTATTTTACCATATTTATTAACTGAACAGCTATTGTACCAAGAACTTGTAATGACAAGGTTAATTCCGAAATACTTTTAAAAGACGTTTCGATAATTCACTAAGTGAATATCCTATTTATAAAGTAAACATTAAATGACAAATGTCACATAATAATGCATAGCATTACCATATATAAATAGAAGAAAATCCAAAAACATAAATCACACAAGTCAATACAATTCAATGAAGAGAAGTAACCCAGAAATTAGGGTGTTTGGCATAAGGCTACTACTTCATCTAATTTAGTTTGAGCAAGTTTACAGTATCACTAGCTTATTCACATATAATGTGTCGCAAAACCAAGTATAAGGATCTATAACATGTAAATTAGTTGAGAGAGAGAAAAAAATTCAATTATTGGGCAAATAAACGTCAATGTATTCAGGATTTAAGTCACAGTGTTTATGTGGAAGTTAATGTAATGATTATTCAAATCGATTTTCGATGTTAATAGGGTTTCAACATACTATTTTAAAGTCCAGTTCACAATAGAAAAAGTTACTGTTCAAAGTTAAATGCATAAATCTTTACAAGTATATAATATAAATCATCATATTTTACAGCATCATTATGTTATAAATTATCACCTTTATTATAGATTGTATAGATTAGCTCACTATTGTGAAAGGTTATTCAAAGCACACTTAGTAATAATAAGGATGATAATAATTACATATTATGAAACATTATTAGGGTTTTACATCATTAAGACATAGACGCTAAGGATAGACACAATTCCTTTTTGTAAAAACTATACATTATTGACCTAATTTGACAATAATAATAATAATAATTAGACAGATATTTACTTTATTAAAAAGAGATAAATGAAGATATGTAAAAATGACTGTGTTTTCTTCTTGAAAGAAAGAAATATAAACTGGCAGTGAAAGGAATTTTAACTTAAAATATACAATTAAAGTTAGTTAGTTAGTCAAATACAATATACAATCTGAAACATGTTGATTAGTTCAATCTACTACATCACAATAGAATAGTGAGATGATTTAGTATGAGTAATTACAGGAGAAATAGTAGTTAGTGATAGTATAAAACAACACAATTTGTGAAGAATGAAGTTATGGCATAACTTAGAAACCTAGAACCTATAAGAAGATAAGCAGTGAAAGTAACTGAGTCACTCAAATCGATTCTGAGTTAAGTGTCCTAAAGTTATCAATCAATGTTCAGTAAAATTAAAAACTCTAACCAAGTAGTTTGCACCTAGCTACATGATTCATTCTAACAGTTACTATTTGTATGAACTGAAGCCATGTTTTGGGTTGGCCGCCGCTAGCCTTCTTTGAGCTTACTTCTATACCAGTCAACATTGACCGTCAAAGTAAACGGTGGTTGAACATACATAATACATGTTTCAAACACAGTTCACAAGGACTAACTATTTCGTCAAACCATTTACCAACCCTTATTCATTTAGTACCCGGTATCTAACCTCAGTAATCTCCACTCAATAGTTCCAGAAAAAATAAGTAATGCTTCGAAGGCGCCTATGAACAGAACATTAGTTACCTACAAATATTCTGTATTTTTCAAGGATACGTTTCACACTCTTAAAGTAAAGAGGAAGAACTGCTGTACGGTATACTTGTCCTTTTGCTGACCATGTCACAACTCAAACCATTAGTTGACCCAAAAATAGTTAATTTATCGATTAAATGTTGAGCAGCAATGTAGAATGTATTAGTTATTGGATAATGGATTCAACTGAATTAAAGATGTATAAATAAACAGACAATAGTCAAGCCCCTGCTAAATACACAAAACACAACCAATAAATATAATTAGTTTGGTTAAACAAATATTTAACAATTGTACGTTTTTGTGATCAACTTAACAACAATATCAACGGAATACTTCGACGACCAATGAATATCAGATGTGAATAAAAAATTCAACTCTTCAAATAACATTTCAAGTTTGGAATAGAATTTTAAACGAATTACAATAGTTATAACTATCTCCTTACATGGGATCAACCACAAGTCATAATAACATAAAACAAAATGTTGACAAAGAAAAATAACAAAAGATAAAACAATAATAGGAAGAAAGTGTAACACTAAATGGAAAGCATTATCGAGTAACCAATAAATTTTTGATTGAGATCATGAACCGATTGATGTTAGATCACCATGGAAATCCACGATCTCGCCTCGCGGATGCGCACTGCTGAGGAGTCCCACAATAGAACGAAATGGCCGTCTAGTGCTTCCATGTTCTCAATGGTGGTCTAACATCAATCGGTTAATGATCTCAATCATAAACTTAATAATCTCCACAACCCTATTTAGAAAGATTTGGGAAGAGCAAAAAGTACAGACAGACTAGAAAAAATACCTCATCAAAATAACAAAGAATGGAGATGTAAGCAAGTGTGAGAACTCAGCTTCAGAGACATCACACTATGGTCAGTACCAGGAAAGGTTTTCAACAGTGTTACTGAACTGGATGGAAGACTCAGTTGACACCGAACTTCGATATCAACAGGCTGGATTCCGTAAGGATCGGTCGTGCACAGACCAAATCGCAACAATACAGATCATTGTAGAGCAACCAAGTGAATGGAACTCGTAAATATGCATCAACATCTTTGATTATGAGAAAGCACATGAGTGTGAATAGGAGAAGAATATGGAATCTTCTTCGACACTATGGTGAACGTGAGAAAATTGTGAACAACAAACAGAATTCATACGACGGACTACACTGCAAAGTCGTGTGTGGAGGACAACTCACAGATGCATTTGAAGTAAAGACCGGTGTCAGACAATGCTACTTACTATTGCTTTTTCCCTTTCTCCTGGTGGTCGACTGGATTACGAAGAACACATTTCAGGGGAAGCACAGAATACAATAAACAGCTTGCATGAAACTAGATGATTTGAACTTCGCAGACGATCTGGCTCTTCTATCCAATACACAGCAACAAATCCAGGTAAAGAAATCCAGTGTAGCAGTACACCTCAACATCCTCAAATACAACACGGAGAACACCAACTCGACGCACTTGATGGAGAAACTCTGAAAGAGGTCGAAACTTTCACGTACCTGGGTAACATTACTGGTAAACAAGGAGAATCTAATACAGACGTAAAGGCAAGGATAAGCAAAGTAAGGGAACGCATTCCAACAGTTGAAGAACATATGCAACTCAAAACAACGGTCAGCCAACATCAAAGTCAGAATCTTCAATACGAACGTCAAGACAGTTTACTGTACGGAGTTGAAACTTCGAGAACTACTACAACCATCATCAAAAAATACAAGTATTTATAAACAACTGCCTTCGCAAAATACTCAATGTCCGTTGGTCGGATGCCATCAGCAACAGCCTATTGTGTGAGAGAACATACCAAGTTCCAACTGAGGAGGAAATTAAGAAAAGACGTTGGAGGTGGATAGGATATACTTTGAGGAAATCATCGAGCTGCATCACGAGGTAAGTGCTAACATGGAATCCTGAAGTGAGAAAGTAAAGAAGACCAAAGTACACACTGCCGACAATTGGAAGCAGACGTGAAAAGGATGAATAGCAACTAGAAAGGATCGCCAAGAAAATAGTTCGATAGAGAATCCTGATGGGCGGTTTACGCTTCTTCACGAGTGGTAAGAAGCAAAAGTAAATCTACAATCTCAGTCAAATGGTCAGTGACTAATTGACGGGAATTAGTCATATACAACAAATAACTTACGTTTAAAAAGGGAATGTTTTCTGTTTGATCGGTTAACCATGTAAAAGCAATAAATGACAATCAACAAGTGATCATGAAACAAAATAATAAGTATGTAACTACTACTCTACTCTTGTATAGATCAGTAACTTAATCGTTACAGCACTCAGATTTTAAATACTTTAATTACAATTATGAATTATCATCTACAGACTATATTTCTGACAGTTAAGTAGTACCAATAACTTTCATATAAAATGTAGTTAGTTGAGTATGACTTGCTACTTTTTTTTTTACTAAGTTCCAACAATTAAGTAATCCTATAAAAATGTACCTATTTAGTAGTTGTACGAATTAATGATAGCACTTCCTATAAATGACAAACGTTTCGACGATAATCCATCATCATCATCAACAACAACAACAACAACAAGAAATATAACTCAGTAATTGTACACCCTATAAATATATACAAGTTATTTTCAACTAAATTGTAAACTATGAGGATATAATTAACTGATTGTCCAAAATATAGATATATTGTAAAAATGAAACCATATAACCCTATTAT